AAATATTGTTGATTGAATCATGAGTAGTGCAGTCTTTAAATGTTTGGTTTGATTGTCATTTTCTTACCCATGACAGTTGACATTTTTCAAAAATAAATGACTTTGGTGCAGAATTGTATGCTATTAGAGATGGTCTTAATATTGCTGTGAACCACCACTTTCATAACGTTATTGTGGAAACTGATTGTCAGGTTGCATATTTGCTTTTGTCTGGTGCACCTAACATCTCCCACCCTTATAGCACTCTTATTATGACTTGCAGGGACCTTTTGCGCATGATTTCTCAAGTCTAAGTGAACAATGTGTTGGGGAAAGCCAATATTGCTGCTGATGCTCTTTCCAAAACAGGGGTCCTTACTTCCCATGGTTTGAATATCTTGTATGAATGTCCACCGGAGGTGGACCTTTTGTGTACTGCTGATCATGTAGGGGTCTGTTACCCCAGGTCTTAAGTTTGAAGTAATATTGTTCTGTCTCTTTCTATCAAAAAAAGGAAAAGACTTTGGTGTTTTTGGTTTTGGATGTCGTTTTAGACATTTGGTGGTATTTTGGACTCTGTTCCTGTTCTAGATTTTTGGGGAATTGTACTGAAAGCACCTTTTTATCCCTTTTTTTTTTTTTTTTTTTTATGTTGGCGTTAGGATTTTTTATTTTTAGATTTCCCTGTTGAGTTTCCTTATGGCTGTTTTCCCTTTATTTTGGTTTGATATTTTCGTTTTACACGTCCGTGTCCCCTTTTTTGTGCCCCATTAGGCTATTCCTTGCTGCCAGTATCCCTTCAGCCTTGGTTCTCCACTGTTATCACTTCCCTGTTTAGACCAGAATCCCACCCACATCTCCCCAGCCACTACTTGAATTTTTAGTGACTTTTCCCCAAATATTTTCTTGAATAGGTTTTTCAATGTCGCTCTTGGATCTCTCGTGCTTTGACTCAAGACATTCCATCATTATCCCCAATTTCTTTTCTTTTCACCAAGAATTCCAACCACCCCTGTGCACAATACCTTTGTTCCGGTACGTTTGTTACCAATAGATACATTTTTGCGAACTGTAATTTGCAACCATCCGTACAGTATATATACAGGTTCCTTTTATAAATTCTGGGAAGTCATTAATGATGAAGTTAAGAAAATGTAGTGCCCCCATGGTTGTGTAATCTGCTACTACATTAAAACACTTTTTTTATTCATCCACTTAGACAAATAGATAGTTGTGGTATCCAAAAGCAGTAAAAAAAAATAATGTCTATGTATTTACTAAATAACATCTATATATTAATTTTTATATATTAATTATTCCCGCTCATTAGTTCTCTTTTTTCTTCTCTTTTTTTCTGAGATGTAAACAAAAATAATATTTATATATTAATCTTTACATAAAAATTTTCTAATATTAATTTTATATTCGGATAAGGATATTTAGGTTTAATCTGGAAGGAAAAAAAATTGGTAGAGTACAAGAGAATAGAATAAGGGTATTTAAATAATTTTATTTGTACATCTATAATTTTTTCTAGCACGTTGACTTCAAAAAATTCTTTTATTTGAAATCATTAAATTAATTTTTCATTCACTCATATATATAATTAAATTTAATTGTCTCACCTTTTAAGTTAGTGTAATCTAATATAATTATCTCATTTTTTATTTTAATAGGTTATTAAATGCTGATATTTCAATTTTACCATTTTCTACAAAGTGATCGAATTGCATTAAAATCTTTTCGTTTAATTATAAACACGAGTGAAAATGAAAAAATAAGTTCTAGTTATAATAAATGAAGTTTTTTTATCATTGTAAATAAATAAAATATTATAACTAGTTCGAGTGAAAGAAGTATAAAAGAATATGAGTACAATACCCAATCATCTATTGGGTTAAGTGTATTAATATATATAATAAGGATCCACTTTTATATATATACACACACGACACTTGTTAGATAACATTGTGTAAACTCCTTTTTTAATTTTAAAAGCTTTTCCTTCGAGAAATACCAATGAAAACTTTTAGTTGCACAAAACATTCAAGTACAGTACAAGAACTGATCAGCAATAAGGAAAACTGTGATGGTGATGGATGCCAATTTAACTTTATTGAAATCTGAATCTGTGGTTAATATATAGGAAAAAAAGTCAAGTAGATTACATTTTACCGAGTCGAAGAAGTCTTTTAATTTTTGCTTTGCTTCCTCCCAATCCTTCTGCCTGCCAGAAAAAAATATTATGTTCTCAATTTAACAGTAGAAAAAATATCTTCAAAAAAGCATACATGCAATTTTATACTAGCATTTACATTATAAAATTCCGTGGTTGTTTATATTCAAATGTTTCGATACAACCCTTCTTCTCTGAAGAAAAGAATAAACGTACTCAATTTAATTAACATTAAAAAAAATCATAAAATGAAAGCATACATGCAATTTTGTACCATTTACGTTTTAGGTTTCAGTGGTGGATTAGCTTCAAAATATTCTTTTGGTGTTTTGGCTACCGAACTATTACTTAATTTTCTTGAATTCATTATATTAATGTAGAGATGTGCTTTTAAAATCGATGAAGGAGAGATTATTATGTATTTTAAATTAATTAAAAAATATCCTGATTGTAAATAATAAAATAAAAAAATACTACAAAAACAGTATTATTTTAATTTTACTTGGGTGATAATAAAATTAAAAGTGTTTTGTAGTTTACACTAAATTGTAAAATACTAATTATTATATTAAAATAAGTTCAAGGGAGAATATCTACATCTGATTATTATTATTTTATAATTTGATATAATTTAAACTATAAAACACTCTACTCTTTAAAAATTTTGAAAGAAAATGCGAAATTGGGGTTAAGTTGTTAAGCGGATAAAAATGGCAATTAAGTAACCAACGGCTCTATTACAATAGCAGTTAGATTTGGTCTTATGGCTGGGAATAGCCAGTTGTTTTTTGACCGTTAGAAGGGAAAAGACTAGGACCTTTTATTATCTCTGCTCTAACTTAAATGTACTTCCATGCCCTCCGCAGCAAGTTTTGGTAATCTACTAGTG